CCCGAGGGACCGAGCCTGTGCTGAAAGAGTTAAGACATTGAGAATGTTTGACTGAAAGACACAATTTTCTATAGTTAGTGTGTGTACAAATATATATATATAATTGAATTACTTGCGTATTTATTCTTCAGTCTTTTAATAACATTATGTACAAATAAAATAAGTTAAAATGTCAATTCTCTTTAGTGAGTAGTCACACAGAGATGCTACCCAAATAAGCTCCAAGGAACCAAATAAGCAACAATACTGAAACATTGAAAAATTTTTCCTTCTCAATTTCATTCTCTGTTTTGGAGGAAATGTATAAGACAAATTAAAAAACAAAGAAAAACTGATTTTTACATTAGACCATTACCTAGAAATAAATTTATAAAAACTGTTCCATATTTGGAATACAGATTAAGATAGACATGAAAGATGAAAATTAATTTGTCTCTTATGATGTGACACATTGAGATAACTGTTCTTTTCTAACAGTTAACTGATAAAAGACAGAAGATTAATGGGTCTATAATCAATGAGAGAGTGACTTGGCTTTCTCTCTTTCTTGACAACAATATTGTTGGCTGCTTTCTACCTGTTAGGTAAATAGCCTAACTTGAGAAATAGATTGAAAAAATGCAGCTACATATAAAAGGAAAAGCAACTCTTGTTGGTAATCATGTCTTTATGAGGAGCAGTGTTTTTCAGGTTTTTGATAGTGTTTTTAATTTCAAAACAAGATATTTAGTTCACACATGTCACAGTTATAAGTTTATTTTTTTGCACTGAGATGGGAAAAGTGTGTTGAATAAAAATTGATCATTTTTGATACTATTGCCGATTTGCTCATAGTGGTATTAGTCAAAATGTGATGGATGGGAACTGTGGATGTGCTTCATAGATAATCTGCAATGAAATTAGTTTTAGAAGAAAAAAGGAGGATAATACATTTAAGGACTCAACTATTAATACCATTATTCCTGTATAAAGAATCAGAACTAGCTATTTAAAGAAAAGAACTTTAACTTTCTCTGCACAGGCATCTTTTACTGTGCATGTCACTTCCATTCAAAAATTAATTAAACTACTTTTTGTTTATGTTATACCAATTAGTATTGCACAAAATCACAGCTAATAATCCATATTTTAAAAGTACATAGGTTTTAAGTTTTTAATCTTATAAGGCAATATTATATAAAATCCTTAATTTCTCCTAGTGTGAGAAATTTAACATAAATTACTCACTATATTATCGTCATCGCTTAAACAAAGTATAATTTTCATAGCCTTCAATCCTGATTGGTTACAGAGCCATCAAACCCCTCTTGCCACACCACCTGTCACATCCTTTCTTTCAAGATTTGTTAATAGTTCTCTCTTAAATTTAATACTAGATTATTTATAACCAATAGAAAGCCAAGGTATTTATCTATCAAATGACTTTTATATTACATTGTTTTCTGTACAGAGAATTGTTAATTTCTCTTTCAGTACAAGCTTTGTTCTCGCAGGAAACATATCAACTAGCTTGGATGAATTTGTAACAGCTCTTGTCGCATGATTAGAAAGCCAGGAAAATCATGATAGTTATGGTACCTTATCTACTTTTTGCATGATATTATTCTAAGTTCTTTGGTGCGTTATTAAATTAAATTATTAAGTGCAATATTACCATTAGTTTAAAAAAATTAGTGTTAAGTGTCATCAACAGTCAACAGCAAAAAAAAAAAAAACAGAAAGACCCAGGTAAGTACTTTAGTTCTTGTTTTTCATGTGTATTCTATACATATTATTATAAAAGTAATTAAAATGTAAAAATAGGAAACTCTTTAGGATAGTTAAGGTTAGATTAGGCAAAATAAATGATAATATAATAACAAATTTTCACGAGGCATGCGCTCGAGCATCTCGAAATAGTAACTTGTGGGTAATGTAATTCAATAGCACAATGTGAGCTACATGTTTCCCAAGTGATTTACAACTTATAATGGTGCCATAAATAGATGTATATTTTTACTAGTTTAAAGCTGCTTAGGATAAATGAATTAGTTTCATGTTACAATTTGAAGTCACTCTAGAAAGAAAGGGTAATTTAGATTTATTTTAATTTTTTAGTGGTTGCAAGGTCAGTCAAATTTACCAACCTTATATACAGTTATGGTAGAGAAAATAACGCATAAAATATAAAGTTTTACTGAAAAAAATGTTTGAAATTTATTTAGGAGGTTTTTAGAAATTACACAAATGAAATTTGAGATTTTTGAGATAAAGAAAAGTACTTTTAATCTTAACACGAAAATCACTTTGCACTAGTTAAAAAAAAAACACTCGATATATTTACAGATACATTTTTTTTAGCTTATTAATCCCACATTAGTACCATCAGTTTGCCAGACAATATTAGTATCACAGTCACACCCCCACCCAGAAAAAAAAAAGATAATAAATATGATTTATTATTATAACTTAAATATGTTTATGTATATTTGTTGGTTACATATCTTGTAACAGATTACACAGCATTTTGCTTAATTTTTAAAGTATGAATTGCATTAATAGAGAGTTAATAATATTAATAAAGAAAAATCATTCATATTTTATTTCACAAAGAAAAAAAAACATCATTTCAAAATAAAGTAAATATGTTTTATAACTAAACATCTTCTTAAGAGTTATTTTGAAAAACATCATTAGATTATCAACATCAATAAAAATGCTGAATCTTCTAACTTTCAGTGTTGCTGTCCATCCACAATGTGAAAAAATTAGTTCTTTATACCAAATATGAAGGAACTTTTGCCTCAGTTTTTTATAAAATTTCAAAGTATTTTTTTTGAATAAAGATTTAACAAAGAAATACAGATATAGGCTTTCCCAAATTTAGTATCATGGGTCATATGGTTGATCAATTCTACCAAGCCCGTGTAGGGAGAGTTAATCATTAATATGGTAAGCAGGGTGCCTTTAAAACTCTCAATGAATACTAGTATTTCTGCTTATGAAGTAGTAATGCTAGATGATCTCAGACGAGAAGTAACAAACACAGAAATGTGTATCATAAATGTAACAAAAGTAATTCTTTCTGTCAAACTCCAGTCTATCTTCAACAATTTAATACAGCATAAAATTATCACACTAAAGGGAAGCTGTTATTCACAATACATTTTACTGTTGATCGTCAAACCAACCTGTACAAGAATCACTTCAGAGCTTCAGTTATCAATCTTCATCAAGAACTTTACTATGTATGTAAATCTGTGAATTTGTGTGAAGTTGATAACATTCCAAAGTATTGTAAAGCTGTATTAATACTTGTCATGTATATCACTTTAAAACTATCCCTATGTGATATTTCAATATTTGACTAGAAAGTTCTTGTTATTGGGATATCATACAAGAAATTGGTTGTTACACAGGGATTTTGTGAGTCAACAAACAAGATGACATGGCCTTTCATCCGTGACCTGTCTAGAAAGGGTTAATGAGGCCTACTTTGTCACATAGTGTTGAGTTCTTCAATCTCATAAAAAATTCTATTTATAAAATACATAGAGAATGATGATAAATATAATACTAGTTCCAAGCAAATGAATTATATCTTACAGATGTAATGTAAAAACGATGAGTATAATTTTGTACAAAAAGGTCTTTGTCTCAAAATTCAATAAAAGAATTAGTAATCAAATGATTTAACAAAAGTGTAATGGCTCAATCATATTTCACATTAAAGTCTTCCTTATATTAGTTCTGAAAAGGCAGACAGCAAATTAGCAAAGTACTGGAAAGTATAGAAAGGAGAGTCTTGCTGCTCTTGCTAACACTAAATTGCATGTGATGAGAAAAATAGTAATAGTTTGAGTAGTGTGATTTTTATTAGCAGTAGAATACAAAATTTCATCTGGAAAACATTTAATGGTGTTTCCTAATAATGTGGGTAAATAGTATTAGTCTAAAAAAAAAACTGGTTCACCCTGAAAAAACACAAATAATGCTGAGTCTATTCTATGTAAAATAAAGTATTTGCAATAACAACATCAAAATGGAAAAATTCACTATTCATAACACTGGAAAAGTATTTGGAAATGAGATCAGATATTTCCTAACAATTTACTGAAGTTATGAAGTAATCAAGTTATGAAATGTGTAGACGGGTTATGTTTGCATCTACACATTTTGATGTCACTAGGGACCTATTCTGCAAGTAAACATTTTTAAAAAGTACTATCAAGTTTAAGTCGAAATGAACCAGCAGAAATGATATCATACCTGTAGTTGGATCACAAAGTGAAGCTATTGTTTCTGGAGCTCCTTTGGTGTACAAGTCAAAGTGCTGGGCCCCTAATACCCTTGTCACCACACTCATTCTCTGTAGACTTGAAGAGAATGGAAATTGTCGTACAATTCCAATTTCATAGGGAGGCTGAATTGAATCAAGACAAGGTATTATAAAGACTTTATCAATCAAAAGTCATAGAAGAAAAACTCACTCAACAGAGAGTAATTTTAACATTTTTATGCTTTGCACCACAAATGCACTACACCTTTGGTTTCCAGATAACATCTGTTTACATTTAAGCAGTATCAAATATTTTATGTTATGACACTTACAGTTTTATTTTTATTTTATTTAAAAGCTTAAATCTGTTAAAACACAGAGAAACTGCTGTCAGTATAACAGTTTCTTGCATTGTAACTATTTCTGTCTTTAATAGATTCTTAAAATAACATGCAAGGTTTTTTTCCCTTACTTGGTGTATTTTTAGAAAACTTTAAAACAAAAATATATATTTTGCAATTTTAGTAAGCTTTCTGAGTTAGCTGGAAGGATTAAATTCAATTACAAACAGATATTGATGAATCAAGTGAAGTACAGAGATTGAGTATGTTATACTAAAACAATTTTAGAGCTTCACCAATCATAACATTCCATATTGCTAGATCTGGTCATGATCTATCTGACAACCATGCATCTTGACAATAGACTTGTACCATACTTTCCACCAGAACAGGCTCCATTGTAAAGCAGCCATGTTAAAAAAAATAACTCCACCCAGCAGCTTTCTATAACCAATCTAGTGTATGAGGAAAAGTTTCTCAGTACCTGTTTCAATAGTCCAGTCTTACAGAAATCTAAAGATACTGCATCCAAAAACTTGACTGGTGTGCTAATATGTAGAACAGTACAAATACTAATTTCATTTTTCAGCTGCTCGAAATATGTTACTATTAACCCTCTCACCTCAACCATCCTTTACTGCACATGTTAAGAGATTTTAGTGACTTACATTCAACTTTTAATTAAGCTACTTTTTTTTATGTTATACCAATTAGTATAGCATAAAATCATAGCTAATAATCAATATTTTAATAGTATACAAGTTTAAGTTCTTGATTTTATAAGGCAATATTTAAAGAAATCCTGAATTCCCCTAGTGTGAGAAATGTGACATATTTTCTCTAGGCATCTCCTCTTCTCTATCTTATTCCCAACCCCTCCAATAAATAAGAGATTTAACATATAATACTCACTATAAAATCGTCATTGCTCAGACAAACAATAATTTTTATAACCTTCAATCCTGTTTGGTTACAGAGCCATCAAATAGAAAATCAGATCACTCTTGCCAAACCCACCTATCATATCTTCTCTTTCAGGATTGGTTAACAGTTCTCTTTTATGCTTAATACTCTATTATGTATAACCAACAGAAAGCCAAGATTTTCATCTGTCAAATGTCATACTATATTACATTGTTTTCTGGACAGAGAATTATCAGTTTCTTAGTTAGTACAAGCTTTGTTCCCATGGGAAAGATAATGACTAGCTTGGATGAGTTTGTAATGGATTTTGATGCATAGTTAGAAAGCCAGAAAATTGTGATAGTTAGGGGAAATTGTCTGCATTTTACATGTTATTATCCTATGTTCTTTGGTGCATTATTTAATTAAATAAAAATTATCTAGTGCACTACCATTAGTACAAAAAAGTAGTGTTAAGTGTCACTGACCATTGGCAGCAAGAAAAAAGAAGACCTGGGTAAGTACTTTATTTCTTGTTTTTCCTGCTTATTCTTTATTTATTATTATATAAGTAATTAAAATAAAAAATAGGGATCTCTTTATGTTAGTTAAGGTTAGATTAGGTAAAATAAATAATAACATAATAAAAATATTTCACAAGGCATGCATGCAAGTAGCTTGGAGTAGCTCGTGGGTAATGTAATTCAATAGTGTAATGTGAGCTCCACATTCCCCAATTGACTTACAACTTATAATGGTGCAAATAGTAGTTAGACATGGTTCAAAGTGTAATAAAACAATAAAATTTAGATATAAATAGATGTATATTTTTACTAGTTTAAAGCTACTTAGGATAAATGAATTAGTTTCATGTTACAATTTGAAGTCATTCTAGAAGGAAACAAAATTGTAATTTAAATTTATTTCAATTTTTTTTGGTGTTTATGAGTTTGGTCAAATTCACTGACCTTGTACAGAGTTAGGATAGAGAAAATAAAAGTTAAAATATAAAGTTTTACTGAAAACAAACATTTGAAATGTATCTAGGAGGTTTTAGAGATTATGTAAATGAAATTTGAGATTTTTTAAATGATGAAAGTATTTTCAATCTTAACATGAAAATCACTTTGCATGCCGACTAGGAAAAACTCAATATATTCACAGACAAATCTTAATTTAGTTTATTTAAAATATTTCACTAAAAAAAATATGATTTTTTTATACATGGAAGACTTATAATGTTTACTGAAAGTCTCCCAAATTTTGTGAAGATATACATACCATATTAAAAGTTAGTAGTACCAAAACTACAAAGACTTTAAAAAAGTATAAAGAGGTCACATGGTCAGTCTAACTGACTGGTCAGCTTTTGCCACTAACCTTTGTGTTCATGTTATAAAACATCACACTTTCCTTTTAAAGGCTGGAATACAATTTGTTGCAGATCTTGTTCAGGATGGTGATAATACAAGTTGGTCCATATTCCTTTGTTCCCTAATGCCCTTAACTACAAGGATATTCCCCATCTTGGGAATTCTAAAACCATAATCTGAATACAGTTTTCTGATCTAAGCATATGAATATTTTGATCAGGAAAAGCTGTTACATACCATTCCCAAAAAGCAAAAACAAATTTGGTGGCATCACACACAACCAAAAAATGTAAAAATGTTGTTCTAACAGATGTCATTCCACCACAACCTTAACATCAGCTGCAGTTGTTATATGATTTGGTGATCTGTATGTTCAAAATAGATTTAATATAACATACTTAGCACTCATAGTATACAACACCTTGACAAAGTGAAGGAAAAATTGTTTACTAGCATAAATAATACTTAATCAAAATTATTTCAGACTTTTCTATAAAGAACTCATTTCCTTTTCTAATAACTTACATTTACTTCCACATTCTCACTACTTTGCACTATATCAGGTTTCTTGGGCTTAACAATGGTTGGAGTAATTACATCATACTTCGTTGTATCATCAATGTCGGGTTCTTCCAAATGCTTGAGAAAGAAGATGTTAAATTATCTATATAGATTTAAGTATATCAAATCCAAGTATTTTTTACTTGTTTTAAACACCATTGGAAATAATTCCATTTAATATACATCAATATAGAATATTACTAAAAATACATAATATCTAATTCACTTTAAATTTATAAACTGTGTAAGACAATATTTTAACACGAGTATAAATAAAAGTAACTTCACTTTCTTATAGAATTATGGGCAATATAGACACTATTATCTAAGTTTCAATTTCTTAATCTCAAAAAGAAATATTTAAATAAATTATCAATCTTCGTTTGTCTGTATTATATGATGCTCCACACCCTGAATCACCATTTTGGATTTTCTTTTGAACCTGATATGATCCACATATATTATAGATACTGGCTTTACTGAGATTAAAAAACTTCAAACTCACATACAATACACCCCTCCTATGTCATCCTGTCTTTCAAATAATGTCAATAATTCTCTCTGACATTCACTAATGGATTGTTTATAACCTACATAAAATGCTGATTATTTTTTATAAAATTTGTTAGGAGGCTAATTTGTTTTAATGCCAGTAAGTAGATATTTAATCTCAATTTCAATGTTTGCCATTGTAAAGTTCAGCTCACACAGCTAAATGGAATTTTGTATACCTATTTATAGCTATGATAGAAAGCCAGTTAAATTATAGTAGTTTTAGAACATTCTGTTTTAGTGCATGATGATGTTTTGTTCTAAAATGCATACTTAAAATAAACAAGAATAACTTTGTGGACAATCAACACCATCACAAAAAGGTTCATTTTAGAGTGCCTTGCCCACTGACAGCAAAATACCTTAGTCCAGATGAAATTTGGGATTTTTGATCTTAACATGAAAATCATTTTGCACACAGATTATTCAAAACAAATATTCAATATATATTCATGGACAAATCTTTATTTTAGTTTGTTAAAAATATGATGATATATAAGTGAAAGACTTGTAATGTTAACTGAAAGACTGTTAAATTTTGTGAAGATATATAAACTATATTGAAAGTTAGAAGTATTAAATCTATAAAGACTTTAAATGAGTACAAAAAGGTCATGTGGTCGGTCAAATTGACAAAGCTAGTGTGAAGAAAGTTACACATAACTTTCATTATTATTTTTTTGACTAAAAGATAACTGCAATGTTTGCAATTAAAAAACAAACAAAAAAACAGTTCAATAAAGATGTGTTTGTCTTAAATATTAATAAAAGAAGTTTTCAGTGTTAGAACAGAAAAAGATATTATAGTAAGATAAATCTAAAACTTGCTCACCCAGTTTGTTGACTCAAACATTTTCATATCTAGTGGGTCTCCAATCAGTTGCTGATCTATAATAGTTAATGAGTGACAAGATGCCATACCAACTAAAAGGTGTCCTTGCTCTAAACTGGATGGCTTCTTCTCTACCCCTTTGAAACTACAGGGAAGAGAACAGCAAAGAGATACAAAATTAAATGAAAATTTGTGAACATGGAACAAAAGAATGTCTGTTATTTACATTTTTTCAGAGAACTTTGAAGTATGGCTGAGAACACAAAATTCTAAATTTCTGGAAGTCCAATAGTCTGATATTTTTAAACATTTGTAAGATACTGAATTTTGACAAAGCGATGAGCAAAATTCCTACTTCAGAATTCTGTTGTTTCACTTCATTACTTTAAAAAATACGATGTGTCACTAAAGAATAAAGGTATTACAATGAAATTTTCCTGCAATCTAGATAAACTAGATTATATTTTCAAATACAAGTTTAAATGTTCTTTTGCAAAAGTTGTTTCATAAATCTGATAAGAGAATGTTAAGCAACAGTAATTCTGTGAAAACTGTTCTTTCAACATCAAAAACATTTCGTTCTAAACACACAGGTTTTGCAATAATAAAGATCATTTCTTACTTTAATATTTTTTATTAACATACATTGGACATTTATTAACTTATTTTGAATATAACTGTAATACTAAATCCTACCTATTCAATAGCATCTGGGATATAGAAAACTAAATTTTTATTCTACTGCTTATTTTCTCAGAAAGTCACTATATATACAAGTTGATCTCAAACAACAGAAAGACATACCATACCTCCCATTTTCAACAGGGACCACTCCCCACATATCAAGTCCATCCTCAGTAAGAGTTCCTGTCTTGTCAAAGCAGACACAGTCAATACAACCACTCAGATTTATAGACCTTGGAGATATACAGTAGATCTGATGTTTTTTTAATCGGCTCTGAGCAAACACAATTCCTATTGTCATTGCAGCAGGAAGAGCTGGAGGTATAATAATAGTGATAAGGTCAAGGGCTCTTAATGCAATTTCTCCTGCTGGAACTCCCCTAGTACTCTAGAGCATAATTTAAAAAAAACAAAAAACGTTTGTGACCCAATAGAAACCAAAGCTATCATAAGTTGAAGGTGTTCATAGAAAAAAAATCTACTGTTCAAGAAATTTCACTTTTAGAAGGAGTACTGTATTTAAATTACTTGAAGAATTAATTCTCTTTCAAGATGAATCAAACAAAAATACCAAGACGATCTCTAATAAAATAAAAAAAATGTAGACTTAAAGCTGGAATTGCCTTTTGTACAAGCATTACACAGGAAGTATTAAGACTACTCCGATTTCCAAAGAATTAAGTTTTATGCATATTATGATATTTAGTTGATACATTCTAAAATCAATGATACAAAGTAAACGCAATGCAATAATAATAAGGAAATACTCAGATTTTAACGCACTCATAGCTTATTTAGACAGCCAGTAAATTATAATAGATGTAGAACATATAATTGTATAATAGAACATTATATACTTTTCTGCATCTTATTATTTTGTGTTCTTAACATAATATTTGAAATAAATAAAAATTCAATAAAATACTAAAAACAGCCATAGCAAAAATTAGGGTTAACTTTTATCGACATTTCAAGTCTTCAGCTGCAAAAAAGTGCAAGAATCACACACATTAAATTTCTTGTTTTTTTTATGTATATATTTTATTTATTGTTATAAAAGTAGGAAAAGGTAAATATTATAAACTTAAATCAAATGTTAGATAAAAAACATAAACAAAAAAATTAGACTTTTGTTTCTAGCCAGAATTTGACTCAAATATTTCTGAAGGTTTATGCCTAACCAATTTGCTAAGAGACATTCTGAGCAAATGAAGGTTAACATTTTTATAAATCGAAAATGTATTTCCAATAATACTTACCTCCTCTCACACTACAGCTGCCAGGGTTTCTTCCTTTGCCCATCTAAGCATTGGTCTGATTTATTCTCGCTTGCTCCAGTCTTTTATACCCCACTAGCCCTTTGCAATATTTGTCCCATGACACTCTCCACTTATGTCAATGTGCCCTCTATCATTCAGATAATGTTATTACTTTTTTCGAGACTGACTCAATCCACAGTCTCTAACACTGGTTCTCACTGGGGAGGAAGGGTGGGAGAGTGTGAGTACAGATAAGTATTATTGGAAATACATTTTTGATTTAAGAAAATTTTAACTTCCAAAACCTACTTACCTCCACTGCCACTTATAGCTAGAATCCCACATTGACAAGGTGGAGGGGCCAGTGAGGGCATTATGCATATAGAAAGCATCTGCATAGATCATGGGTGTGTCAACAGAAGATTGGCACCCTAGTGGAGGAACCACACAACATCTAGAACAGGTATGCTCTTCACTCAGAACTTAATTCATTTAATGTGGGTGGAACTTTACATGAGTGATCAACCCTATGGGCTAGGCCCCAACCAGATAGCTGAGGTTCCATTGTTTGGGGTTGGAATTATATGGCCATGGTCCTTATATCCAACATTGGTGGCTAGGGCAATTGGACCGCAGGTTCTCAACCTGTAGCCACAGAGTGATGTGTTCTCAGCCACCAGAATTGTGATGAGAAGGTAAACAATACTGAAGTGGACAAACCTTCTCCTCAACCTGAAGAAATCTGAAAGGCAACACCCCAAGCTCAGAATGACTGGATCTTGTATGCCTTACTCAATCTGAGGAAACAGAACTCATCCGATCTGGAATTATGAACACTCATCCTCACTCCCCAACCAAGTGGGCAAGGTAAATTCTACTTTCTCCCAGAATTATGGGGAGGACATGGATCAAACTGTGCTCAACCAAGGACCCATGATGGGATCACTCTGCATTTGAAATTGCAAAGAGACAATGAACAGACCCTTTTCCATGAACAATGCACCTAACCAATATTGATGAAAGGAAGGGCCACACTCAACCCAACCAAATAGCCGAGCATCAAATCTGAACCAGTACTACGAGTAGGCTACCTTGTAGGCTAGTGCCTTTCCTACCAACACCTGGGAAAATAGCATCCACGAACCCGTGTAGGAGGGCCCCAACTTTGCCCTCTTTTCCAAAAGTGGAGGAAATTCTGGAGGAAAAGCTTCTGTCCACCACCCCAGTAACTGGAAACCAGGTGTGGTAAGGACTCCCGAGCTCCACTAGCAGAATATGAAGGGTAATGCATGTTAGGGAGCTCTGAGGAACAGTGCTCTAGAAACAGTGCAATAGGTGAACTAAGTTCCCTAAGTTTGTAAAATCAAATTGACCCTGATTTATTCAATATGATGATTAGCAGGGATGAGCAGGATCCCTTTTAGCTTTACTCATTATTGTTCATGAGCAGTGATCCGGCATAGTACAGTAATACACCTCATTTTTTCAAAGCCTCTTACAACCTAGATAAAGTGGTTGCTAGTGCAGAATTGTTTTGATAAAAGCACATTTGTCTGGAAAACACTCATCACAGAGTGGGATCCTGTGAAAACAAGGTAAAGAAGAGACAAGCATAGCAATGAAAATATTCAACCCTCCATATAATTTAGAAGTGATTAAGATAGCAATAGGGGATAGTCGAACATCCCCAGATGAAGATGCTGCCAGATCAGTATTGGGGGAGGTCCACATACCAGCCTGCATAATGTCCTCTAGCAGGCAACTCAACCGGGCTGCTAATAACATAAAAATGTGACAAATCAGATTAGACATGACTCACAGAAAGATTCCTTGCCTTCAAAGAGTGCCCATAATAAGCAATATGTAACAATTTTGTACCCACATCATCAATGCAAACAGAATGAATCATGGGAAACTGAATGATCCCAATGAATAAAAAGTCGTTGTCTAGCATTTCTAAAGGCATTAGTTGGGGCAACAAAACTTTCAAGATCCTCGCTGGAAATCTCATCATGATGTTAGAAAAACATGTAGGTTCAAGAAGTCTTGAGAGAAATGAATAAAAACCCTAGAACACTTTGGAAAGGTGGACTTTTCTTCTTTAGGGGGAACTGGGGATCTGATTAGTCATAGAAGTGAGAAATAATGATCAGATGAATTGGTGAAAAGGATTTATCTCCTCCTGTGGCTGACAGTGTCTTAGGGAAGAAGAACCAGTATGAGGATATAGGTAGAATGATAAAGCATCCTATGAACAATTAGCTCAAAACACTCCAACTGACAATGTCAATTGAAAAAGAATATAAAAAAAAGTTTAAACAAAAATCAACTAGATGACACTAAGAACACTCAAAGTATCTCCATCAATTGTAGTATGGAGAAACCTGTTAGTGAATGCTTTGTCAAGAAAAAGTGATAACATTATCTGAATGAAGTGCTTTTATATAGTACCAAGATAGAGGATGCATTGACGTAGGTGGTGAATGTCACAAGACAAATATCGCCAAGGGCAATTAAGTGGGGAATAAAAGACTGAAGCAAGCGAGAAAAAATCAGACCAATGCTTAGATGGGCAAAGGAAGAAACCCTGGCAGTTGAGTAATAGTGTGAGTAGAGGTATGTTTTGGATAAAACTATTATAGGGCAGCAATAAACAAATTTGATTTGACTGCTTGCTCAAAATTCAGTTATATCTGCAAATTAATGAGCAAATGTAATTTAAAATACCATTTTATGTACATACTTTGCATTATTAATGATTATCTCCTGTGACAAACAATCCAATAAAAAATACAGCAATTTGTGTCAAAAAAAATTACACCATTCTCAATCATCATTAACTCTTTTCTGTAATCCACTGGTGATAATTAATCCAATCATGCCTATCAACACTATATACAGTCCAAGTTATTTTTATTTTTACACAAGCTTTCAATAACAACCAATGCATGTAATTAGTACTGATACAATTTTGGTGAGGAGATAGGATCAAGCATGCTGATCGGCTCATGCCTGCATTATGCATGTCAAGTTCAAAGAATATGGATAAGCGTGTCTGTTGTTTTTGGCAGCTGTTACTGAAACACATAAATAACATTTTAGTCATTTTGAGTACTAAGAGGATTTAGGCATATGCTATAAATGAAGTACAATTAAAGAACTGTAAAACTGTTAATCATCACTATACATATAACAACAGTATATTTCAACATCAACAAAAATAAGTAATGCATTAGAAAATAAACAATATTATACAAAAAATCCAACTTAATAAAGGATCTATTTTTTCCCTTCTACCTTTCATTTTGAGCTAAACATTGTTTAAGTCTTCAATTTTAATGATTCACATGCTATTCTTAGACATGCAACAAGCCTAAAGTTCTTGCATTTCCTTTTCTCAAAACACATTTCTACAGTTATAATTCCACATATTTTGAGGGTTACCACTTCTCCCTTCGATAAGAACAGGTTCTACATTTGAAAAATTTATAAAGAAATTCAATACATCAACTTGCAATACAAATAATACAATACCTTAATAATAACTGTATATATGAAACCTATGCTTGCCAGACCAGCCAGAAAAAGCAGAAATTTTCCTAAATGTCGGTTGAACTTGAAATCTACTGGTTTAGGAAACATAATAGATCTAACAAGATCACCTTTAGCAGTAAGAAATCCTGCAGCAAAGAGAAAATGTTATATTAGAATTAACAAATGATGATACTAGTTGAATTAGTTTCAGTTACTGATGTTTTTATAAACATAGATAATGTATTTTTTGCTATAGGAAGAAGGTGAATTTTTCTAACTGGTTGAAAGATTCAATTGTACGCTAGTTGAAGAAGAAATAAATATTTGAGAAAAATGACAGTTTAAATGATATCACATAAAACACTGGAAAACTTTAGAGCAAAAACAGAAGTTACTATTAATTTTCAAAAGCTAAGAAACTGGAAAAGACTTTCAGAGGAATTTTTACTAGCTATAAATGTTCAGCATTAGTACTGGTTAAATGGAATACCTTAATATAAAAAATAAAAACAAAAGTTATGTAGAAGGCTATAATTTATTGAAAGGAGTTTATGTACCTCATTCAGTTATTGAAGTTTGTTTGAATATGGAACTATAAGCTCATAAGATTAATTTAAAAATAAATGTATAAAATCTATTAAAACCTTTGACATGAACATTTCAAAGATAAACACAAGTCACACAAAAAACGGAAGATATCCTTTATTAAATATATATGGACTTAGGATGATAAAAGTATGCATGTCTAGACTAATTTAACTCTCTCACTATGGGATCGGTCCCATGGGCCAACCTTGTAACTATTTTGTGCTTGTTATAGTTTTCATACTATAATTTTTAATACAGTATGCGTATCTTAATAAAATTTTGCACGTTATCAGTAAACATTACAAGGCTTTCATACACAAGATATTAGATTATTTTATTAAGTTAAAGATTTTTTGAGTAACAATTTGTTCATGCATTTTTTTCTTTTTCAGTGTTGACTATCCATCATGCAAAGTAATTTTGATTTTAAGATTAAAAATACTTTTATGCATCAGAAAATTGTCAAATTTAACATGCAAAATCTCTTATAACCTCCAGATAATTATAAACATTTTTATTTTAGAATAAACTTTATATCTTATCTGTTATTTTCACTACTGCATCTCTGTATGGGTTTGGTCAATTTGACCAACCTCGTAACCATCATAAAAAAATTAGGAAATAAATATAAATCATGCTCTTTTTCATTCCAGAATGACTACAAATTATAACTTGAAACCACAAATGTTGTGCCTAAATAGCTTAAGTCTCATAACATTATACATCTATATATATATTTATTACTTTTATTTATGAACCTTTCAGCCATGTCTGACTAACATTCTAGAAGTTGCAACAACGTGGAGCATGTTACCTTATCCAATAGTATTAAACTGGCCTTTATAAAGTGACATGTCTTGGCTTTGCTATAGTGGACCAGTATTTTGTAAAATAGTCACATTTTGGTTATAATACATGACATATGTATATATATTATTACTATTTACAAATAAGTTATTAAATTTCAGTTAATTTTCTTAAAACATAGAACAGTAAATATAAAAATATAGAAAACAATGATATCTTCTAATTATGAACATTGTACTTGCTTGCCATAATTTGCTAAGCCTTGTTAAATTTCGCATGTGCAGGATGTAAAACAAAATAATTTTTTTAGGTTTTTTTATATATTCATTTTAAAACTTTAAAAAATCATAATTTAATATATCAATAACACAGAATTCCACTATAATTTATCAGGCTTAGTAACTAAGCTGTATTTGGATCTAAAAGAATATGATATTTCAAGCTCCATTATTTCTTACCTCTCCACTTTATTTCTACCATGAAAAGGAAGATTTTTCCCACATAAAGACTTCGCAAAGGCTGAGAATACCATGTGGGGACATTTTAAGCTTTTGATTGGTTATACACACATCAAACAGAGAAGTAGGTGTACGTAAACAAGTATTTCCAAAAATGAAAGAGGTGGGCAGGGCCACCTTGGTTGATTCATTAAATATAATATTCCAGAAAATAAAAAAGATAGGAAGTTCTTATTTTATATTCTAGCTTGTTAATATCAGTAATTTGAGTTTATAATTAGTAATAAACTACAGACATTGTATTTGGATATCACAAACATTTAATTTGAACTAATGCTGCATTCAACATACCATATGACACACAAAAATTGATATTTAGGAATTTTGTTATAATATTTACTTTGAAATTAAGAAATCAACTAGTGTATGATATAAATATTTGATCTCCAATATACAATTTGATACCAAACATAATGACATACATTCATAAAATTGTGTTCCAATAAAGTTTTGAATGCAAGTCTACAAACATGATGACATGCCCTTTGACCCCTGACCACAGGAAAACCTGTTAGGTTAGGGTTAAAGAGATACATTCAAAATTGTATTAAACTACTTTATTATCAATGTATGTTAATAAACTTGGCAGCAAAAGACAGTTTCTAACTGAAATATTTATATTACTCAAGTTTTAATTTCCAAAGGAAATATTTAAATAAATTCTCAATCTTTAACTTTGAATCACATGATGAAGTGGCACTCTGATTTCTCATTTATAGATTTTTTCACCTCCCTCAGAAGGTTTTTAGGTTATTTAAGCAATCAGAAACACATACTACAGACACTGTCAAACCAGAAAACATAATTTCAACCTTTTATTTTCATGCTTTATTGACTTATTGCTATATTATTTGTTCAACCCACATTGACATGCTTATATGTCTGTAATTCTGACTCTGCCATTGGACAAGTTTATAAACAATAGAAAGAGCATATTCTAAACTACATCAATCAGTTGATGGTTGGTTTTGTTTTGGTAGTCAAAAATGATAGTTCACAGGGAGAGCTTCAGATGTTTAGACTAAAGATGTTGCTTTGAGCAGTAATGGAATTTTTTAATTTACTTATAGGTTAATGTTTAGTGAGGAACCTAATAAACTGAATAATTAATTCAAAATATAATAACAAGAACTTTTACAGTAGGCAACTTCTTATTTTAATAATTAAAACAGTTTAACTCAAAGTATCCAATCGTTACTGGGTAAGAGTTGCCTCCTTTTGAACTCAACTGTCTTTATAAATGTAATTTTTACCTGATGGTGACTCGATGCTATAGGTGGAAACATTGTAATTGTTAAAATAAATTTTTATGTATATTTTTTATTCATTATTACTTACTTTTCAACAAAAGTAGCTAAAATATAAAAATTAAAATCTTATAGGTTAGATAAGAAAATGAAAAAAATTATAGTGATCTCTCTTGGGGGAAAATACATATTCATCTTGTAATGAAACTTGATAGTTTTTTTTACCCTAAACTTCCATTGTGTGATTTATTGCTCTGTTATGTTAATTAGACCTGATTCAGAGAACAATAAAATGAAATGAAAGCAGTTATGAAAAGGTTACAATCTGCAGTCATTCTAAAATAAAATTTTTATTTTGATTAATTTCATATTTTTCAACTTTTCTTTCACTGCCTTGATAATTTTGGTATAGCTAGTGTTAGGGTAAAGAATGTAACATATAAAGTATAAAGTTTTATCAAAAAAACTTTTGATATTCATTTAAGAGATTCTACAGATTATGCAATTGAAATGTGAAAACTGTAAGAGGAAAAAAAGTATTTCTACTCTTGGCATGAAAATCATCTTTCATTCAGACAAACTTAATATAAGTTTCATAAATTCACAAACAAGTGTTTAGTAAAAATACTGTATTCAAAAGTCTGATTTTTTGTGGACAAGATACCAGTAACATTCATTAAGAGTTTGCCAAATTTCAAGAAGATACACTTATTACATTCAGAGATATGTATAATTTCTTGGTTACATGGCAGTTACAAAGTCAGTCAAATTGACAGATCCTTTTTCCAAAGGGTTAAGTGGTTAACATACCAGTTCTTACTACCACAGCAGTAACGTTTTCCTTGCCATAATAACGGGTTTGAATTACTTTTGTTCCACAAAACAGTGAATGTCGAGCATGCTCTTTAGGACTATACAACTTTTCAGGTACACCATAAACATTTACTGGTTTTGGAAGAGCTGTTTTTGTGATAGGAACACATTCTCCTGCATACAGAAGAAAAAAACGAAAAACTTAAGGTGAGAACCAATTACATTAATTAGTATCTCTTAGTTATAATGCAACATAAAAGGCCTTTACATTTATCATCAAATAATTTTTTCCACTAAATCCTTCCCAAAAAGATAAATTCACACAAGATAAATCATTATATCTTTATAATCATACTACAGTTCTGAAAATAAACTTGGTATCTAATCAGAAAATAAAATTTTGTGAGGTATAAATAATATCATGTATTACTTGTAAACACATGTAAATGTAAAAAGTTTACGAAATTGTTTATTATTCATTTTCTATTTAATTAGTTTGAAATTAACTTTCCAATATTTTCCACTGCAAAAAACAACAACATGAGTATTATCCATGCATTTCGTACCTGTCAACATACTTTCATTGACTATACAGTTTCCGGTGACTATAACTGCATCACACTGCATTACACAGCCATGACGAGGAATCACAAGCATATCACCAGGTGCCAAATGTTCTGATGGAATATCTTCATATTCTACATAAAGTAATGACAGAGTTAAAAATAACAAGACCACAAAAATAATGTCATTTCTAGTGGTAGTTTTGCATAACATAAAAGCTTTAGTTTAATCTTTAACTGCTGAGCCTTAGTTTCAATGATGAAATGAAGATTAAATAGTAAATTATCAAACAAGTACATCCACCAGGAATGTATTTAAGACAAATTTTTTGTATGGCAAAGTTAAAACTAGTCTACTGATTAATGCTAAGGTACACGATGAAGCAATTGGATGTTTTTGAGGGAATTTAACAATTTCTTCAGCCTTTTACGTTTAAAAAAAAACAAATTAAAGAAATTTAAGTTTTTGAGGGTGGTGCATATACGTGAAGAGATGGCATAAGTAAAAAATGCCTGTATTATGGAATTGTATCAAGAACTAGACAAAGCACAGTTAGCTGGCTAGTATTGTGAATCACGAGTTAAGAGTTATAAAAAATGAAACTACAGCAAGGATACTGTGAAAAACGTTAGTCACGAGTTTGACAGTAATAAGTTACTGACACCAAGTTAGCAGCATAGTAAAGGCTACTAAAAAGTTTATGATAGCATCTCAAATCTGTGCTTTAATGTGAGATCTGTTACTCCAGACCAGTGTAGTAGTACAAGTAAAAAGGCAACTAGAGCACTCACCATTACAGTAACCAATTACTTGATAGTTTGGGTTCTTGTTTTGGAAATGCCAAATGAGTTGCAGAAGTTAGCCAGGACTACTTGTAAGTAGTCAGGGATACTATTTGGAAAAGTGAAAGGATACAAAGAAAGTACAAATAAAAACTCGTGTCTGGGACTAAAAATCTAAATCTCCAGAAAGAGTTAAAGTTCTCTCCAGGATGAATCGAGGTTTCCCAAGTCAACATGAATATAAAAATTTCTAACCTCTAGAGATACACCAGTCTGACCGTGCTGTAAGTATAGAATTGCTATCTCTCTTGTTCAATTAATGTAATTTACTAAAGGAAGTTAATGCTTATAATAGAGAGAAATATTCTATATGTACTGGTTAATAGTGATTAACTGAAAAGTGAAAGTTAGAATTGTTAATAAACTAATGGTTTAGTAAACGTTTAACTGTTGATATTAAGTGTATACTATGTGGAAAGACCTAACAAATGTTGATGTATTTTGTTCAATGTTGGTCTCAAAATCCGTTTCTTTATTCTAACTGTAAATTACCTCAAGTTAGAGACTTGTAAGCTCCACTTGCCACTGCAATCCTCATTTTTAGTTTTTTAAAATAATAATTTCAAACTTTTATATTAAAACACAGCTTTGTTACATAACAGTCATGCAGAAACTACAGTTCTTTCAACATGAAATTTTATCATTCTCAAGATATATTTTCATGTACATAGCTATCATGTCCTATTACATATTTCAAAATTAATTTTCCTACAAATGGTAATATATCATATATTTCAGTTTATATCTAATTTATGCTTCTGCAGATGATAAAGTGTTATGTCTATATATGTGTTATGTGTATATATGTTATGTCTATATATATAAAGCAGGAGTGTCATCTGTTTGCACGTCTACTATTCACATCTTCACACCAATTTCACTCAAACTTTGAAATACACTCTCTGAGCCCCCAGGGAGAAGGGAATTAGCATTCAGATCTAACCCCTTACATGACTTCTTTATCTATTTATCATCCTCATTCCTACAAACATTTACTATGTAACACAATGTATTTTATAGTCCACTCACCATCTTTGCCCCTACAAATGGTTACCAAATCAGATCCATACACTGTATCATATAAAGTCTTCTGGTTCTGAAATATTGTTCAAGCAATATTATATTTTACAATACAGAAACAAAATAATATGTTAGAAAAACTTCACAATTGTTAGAATCTTGTGTACAAAATTAACTATCAAACAATAATGTAGGTTTCTCTGCCTACATATGGAGTTAATGTTATTTACACTTTATTTACTTTAGTCTAGAAACTAAACCACGTTTCATAATCTTTAAAACTACTACAATTTCATTTCAAAGTCTATCACAAATATTTATTTTTAATTTTCTCTGTATTTCCTTGGATTCATATACCAAACCATTTTGTTTTTCACAAAAGTGTTAGAAATAACTTTTAAAACAAAAAGATTACTTCATAAATAATCAAAGACATCTAAACACAAATTAATTCTGTTTAATAATATGTGCTCTTACAATCATACCTTGCGAATCTGATACACTCCGGTCGTGAGAGAGAGAAGTGACATGACAATAATACAAGAGGCATAATAAGGATAATCATCAAGGTACCACACAATAACACTGAAGACTTGGAAAACATAAAAAGGTTCCAGGACCTATACAAAAAATAAAACATGCATCAGAAATAATTAAATATTAGATAATCAACAACATAATAATAATGGAA